ATATATATATATATATATATACTTTACCAATGTGTTGTGTGAAACTCAATGCACTCAATAATGTCAAAAGCTTATTTAAAGAATATTTCTTTTTAGTATCATTCAAGCAGAAAAACAATTTATTTGTAGAGGCTGTGTTGTAAAGAAAGCATACATAATACTACTACACTACCATTTGAAGAGGAGCAAAACTGGGAAGCGATTGGTCCACTCCACCCACCTTTGCTTTTTCAGCACTGTGAAACTAATCAAATATAATCTTGTGCACTGCACCAAATGTGCGCGCGTGACATTCAGCACTAAAGACTACTACCAAAGTCACGGATGATGTCATCATTTATGCAAGTTCCTTTATGATGTTTGCATGACTCCAAATACACATACAGTACGTACAGTGATCATCATAGGCACAGTCACACACGGTTCTGTTCATGACTATAACACACTTTTTACTATGCTTATGCTAGTTTTTTTATTTAAATAATCATGTATTGCCACAAAAAATGACCGTGTGTTGAATGTCTAACTTTTCTCTAACAATCCTTGATAGAAACTAAACGTGATTATCACTGAAATTGCTTTCAAATGACAAAGCCTACTTATGACTTCTCTGATAAAGACCGACATTGTTCACATAATGAATCAAATAATACAAATTAATTGAATGTCCTTTCTTTCTAGATGTGTAACATTTGATGATGCTTATGAAGAATTGGACCTCTTTGAGGCCCCAGCATTCAAGTACAAATAATACTTTTGGTCAGAGAAGTTTGATGATGTAGATACTGGAGAAAATCCAGAATACTGTCCATCCATCTTTGCCAAACATGTATCATTTATCTGCTTCAAAAGCTCACTCTTTTGGATGAATGGCTGAGCAGCATATTCCACAAATGGCATCCACTGCAGAAAAAGAATAGTATGAACAGTTGATATCTTTCTTTGCCTATAATGATTTTACATTTCCTCGGGACCCTTTTTCAAAGTACAATTTATTGCTAGATAAACTTTTTCCAAAAATATTTCTAGGAAAAAAATATAAGAAAAATAAGATAAGTTTATTCACAAGTTAAAATTAGCTTTTAATAAGTCAAAAAAAATATTTTGGAGAAGTTAAGATGAGAAAACTTCTACAAATTAATTTATGCACAAGTCAGTTTTAGCTTTAGAGAAATTTTTTACACTTTTCTTCATTATTAGTATTTTGAAAAGTTTATCCAAACAACCTTATAACGGATTAGAGGAAATCAATTTCGAAAAAGAAAGCTTTAATGGGCCGGGAAAGCTTTTAAATGATAGGTTCACAGTGGAAGGAGTAACAAAAATTATGATATTTTTAGTTTTTTACTATCCGTAGGCACCGAACATTTTAAAAGACACGTGGAAAACAAACCATAATTACTGCTTGGCTTCAACTATAACTTACATACCTGTGCATTCAGTATCTCCGATGCCTGTGTTTGGATGTCATAAGAAAGAGGCCGCAACATACACACGAAGAATAAGTCTGATTTCTCAAAGAATGAATTATGACTTTGTCTGTTGATCAGGTATTCAGATGAAAGAAAAAAAAGAATTCTCGGTCATCTGAATTGTAGACTCAAAAATCCAAGAAATTTCAATAGAAAGAAGTTCCTAATTTATTGACAAGTAAATTTTTTTGCAATATATAAATATTTCAAGCTCTTATTCTCTCATAGACAATAATATTGCTAAAAATGGATATGTTGACATAGGCAAGCTAAGCATTTCAACTTTTGCTTGACATCACAAAGCCTATAAATTTTTTTTATTTGCACCAAGAATATTCTTCAATTGATAATCAAAAACTAATTCCTTTCAAGACTTAGAGACTGTTGAAGTGAGCTTTGCCTCTCTCAACAAAGTTTTTTCCACACACATGGTCAGAAATCGAACCCTTAACATGTTTGAGAGAACCAGCTATCTACCAACTATATTAGATCTTGTTGGTCCAGAAGACCTAAAATGGATCCTGCAGCTGGTGTATGAATGTTATGAATTCCCTCATCCCTTGTAGGATTTTGGACTACAAGATGTTGCCCCTCCTTCCATTATCCCATATTCCCTACATTCATTATCAATGAGATTTGAACCTTCTATCTCGTATTTAAATCTCCATAACCAATCATTGGAACTTCGCATTTAGTACATGAATTGAAATATATTCATATAAACATGCTACCTGAATGCTAATACCTCCAGAAATTCTGAATCAACCTGAAAATTGAGAGAACCCGGAATTATTAGGCTTATAACAACAGTAAACTTGACTGACACGTGATCATATAATTGATTTCAGGAACAGCCCACATTTAATTGGTACAGCAATGAGATTACTTACCCCTGTTTCTTCTTTGACCTCTCTTACTGCTGCTACACAAATATCTTCCCCCTGTATAAATTGAACAAGTAGATTATATGCACAGTATAGATCCTTATTTCTTTATGACAAAGATATTCAACACATCTACCTGCTCAACAACTCCAGTAGGGAATTTCCAGACTCCAGTTCCCTGAAATTGTCCACTATTCTCTTGAACAACTAGGACCTAAGATCGTTGAATAAATAGAAAATAAGATTTTAATCACCAATAGAACTAAAATCTGAAGAATTTCTATTAGTTAGAAAAATGTTTCTCTTTTTCCAATGAAAATTTTGATAATGGACCTACCAGAAGAAACTGACAAGAATAAAAATAATAAACTGGAGCAATGGGCGAGAAAATGAAGAGAGGAACTTAAATAAAGAACAAAGATACAGTTCATTCATCACTTTTTTTTCCTACGAATAAATGCGGTGTTTTTTTCCCTTCTTCTTAAATAATCTAAATATACTAGTTCCTCTCTGGAATGAAATGCAACACATACACATTTAGTTCTTTTTCATCCTAATCTATGAGCTACGACTTAATCAAGATAAAGGACAGGCATAACAGTATTTGTCAAAGATATAGCCCTCAAACAACAGATTCCTTCGAATTTAGTATAGGCCTGATTACGAAGATGCACTATATTGTGATTGATAGTGGGGAAAAACCTCTTGATTTTCATTCATGACAAATGAACCAATGCCCACCCTGTGTGTGGCGTTTGCAGGAATAGTACTTGGACTTTCATGAATCCAATATACAAGCATTAAATATTTTGGTTCTGCGTGATGATACCAAAAACCCTCCTGCATAGAAGTGTCATGGAAATAATGATTAGTAAATAGAATTTTTACCTGACAACATTAAAGGAACTCTAATTTTTGCAACCTAACTTCTCAAGCATAACCATTATGATAAAGATAAGCAATAAAATTAGTCACCTTAACTAAAGCTTCAACAAGACTGACTAAATGAATAGGTAATTTTATCCAAACACCCTTCTTGCCCTGCATGACAATGTTGATTTTCATTAACTCAAACAAAGATAGTGACAGATTCTAGACTCTCGGTACATCTAGTACAGATAAAAATGCCCAAGTTTTGTTTCATATAATGACAAGCCTATTAGCTTGTTTTGCAAGACAAAATAGACAGGAAAATAAGCTTGTAGCAATCATTAAATCAAAAGGCTTAATGAAAATACAAAACGAAAAATGTTCCAATAGATCATAATTGCTAAACTAGGACTATGAGGGTCAGATAACATCTTGAATAAATTTTCCACACTACCTACCAAACTTGATGAAAATATATAAAAATGATCTATATACTGAATAACAGGTTAATGATAAAAGAAGAAACTAAAGTACTTGAAAATAAAACTTCATGTATGTATTTTGAATGCATTGATGAAGAACACATTTACCTATTGCCGCACAAGGAAACAAAAAAAGAAGGGCCGGCCAGTAGATATACGTGGAAATCATCTATACCTGATTTGTGTGCTTGACTGCTTGTATTGTTTAACATGAGTCCCAAATCATGCATAGTTTTAAATGAAAAAGGCTTACAATTTATAAAACATTTGACCAATACGTGTTTCCATCAATGAATGAAATAAAATCAGATATGCTAATTACATTAAGCATCTAACTAGAAAGATTACCTACCAGCTGCTTCCAATGAGAAACAGAAGCTCTAAGGATTGAGATAAATGTTGTAGAATCCATAGGCTGATCCAGTTCCACAATAACACCCCCATAATCATCATCAGTTGATGTTAGTAGGTTAACCTGTTGAACTTGATCTTCTGCTGACATTTCTGATGTAATTGCTGATGAAATTATTGAGGTCGGTTTGGATCGTATAGGAACATTGGTTGCCACTCCAATCTTGACTATTAAGGAAAAGTGAATAAAAGAAACATTAGACTCCGTAAAAAGACTAGTTTAATTTGAGTAATTCCAAACAAAACCGAAACATAATTATTAAGCAATCCCTACAAATGGGGAATAGTATATCCTGTGTAAACAAGGACTAGCAGTTCTGATAGCCCACTTTTCAAAGCTGACTAGGAAAAATATAGAACCAAACTTTTATGGTACCATATGGATCCATGAATTTCTCATTTCAAACTGAACCTTGCAAGACTGCAAAACAGTTATGCAGCCAAAAATAAATTATTTTGTTAATGAGAAAATTGGTTTAATCTCCTTTTTATTTTCTTCATTTTTTAGTTACCACCACTGTTGTAAAAACAAGCAACAAATGAGCTTTGGATGGAAGAATTTTGGGAAAATCAAGAAAATGAAGTTAAAGTAATTCTTCCTTTTTAAAACTTACAAGGGGATATTGCAACAAGTAAAATTTAACACACTAACAGTTCTAATAAGCACGGACAGGCACATTTTGAAAACAGAATTGTAGAGTGATTGCACCACGATTCAGTGAATGGTTCTCTAAGCTAAAAAAGGCTAAATATATATGTGTGTGTGCGTAATTTAATTAGAATGCAAATGAAAGTTTAAGGGTTTTTATACTATAATCCAGTCACATAAAACACACTTTTAAGTTCGATAAGTTTATTGACTTTCATAAAAAATCATTCCTGAGATTATTTTTTATTGGTCAATAGTGTAATAATACATGAAAATTAAACTCATGCTAACAATATATATTGCATAAGTTACATAACAATGCTCCTCATGACGCAGGAGACCCCAGAAAAATCACCCAATAACAAGCCTAGTGAGGTCTATCCAGCAAATGCAGAACCATCAGTGTTCGCTTGCGTGTTTGGATTAGTTTATTAATATTCAAATCAGGACATAATAAAAAAAAACGATTTTCACTACAAATTAATTTTTTAAAAAAACCACGTTGGATTGGAGCCAATAGTGAAGGTCGAATTTTGTCCATCATAAACGATACCCAAAAGCCAAAAGATACATAATTGGAAACCGGGTCACTGTAAATCCAACAGGAAACAATGTTCAGTGATGCAAAAAATCAGAAAGTGGTTCCTTAATTGGTTTGAATTTCCATCACTTACCTCTTGAAACTGCTTTTCTCCCTTGGGATATGAAACGCTGAGCAGTCACACGATAATGGGGATTCCTGGCAGAGGAAAAGAGGAGTGAGAGCTTCGGCAGTGATCTGAGCATGTTGATAACTTGAGTGAATCCAAAGCCGCAACACAACAAGTTATGGCACCATTTTTTCTGTCTCTGTCTTTTTATTTTCTTTTTTAGTTTTCTTTTTTAGGAACTGAAATTACGGAATCAAAATTTGACGTTGAAAATTAAGCGAACGTGTTATTTGTGTGACGAAAATTAAAAGTTGAAACCGAAAAAGGAAGCTGTGGAAGTGGACACGACACGGCGGCGTAGTTCAGTTTGAGAGGTCCAACTTTTTTTCTTTTTTTTTTACAGGATAATATGTACACGCTTTATATATTCAAATTTTGGTAATTTTTGTTTCTATTCTCAATTTTAGTTTCTTCTAATTTTACTTTTAGTTTAAAGAAAATTTTAATCAATTTTAATTTCTAATTTTTTTCTCCATTGATATTTTTAATTTGGCTGTCAAGTATGATAGTTACGTTAATCATTCACTAATTTGAAATAATAATCACGTGTAATTTTTTTAAATTATATTTTTATCTTTAATGTTTTCACGAAAATTACTTTTATTTTCTAAACAAATTTTTTTATTGATTTTAGTTTCTTTTTTTTCATAAAATTTATTTATAGTCCTCCATGATACTTGATTTTAGTCTAAACATATTTTTTTCATTGATTTAAATTTTTCAATTATTATTTGGCATTGTTTTTAGTTATTTCCATCAATACTATTATTAAGCATTGAATATAACATGATAACTACATTACTAGTCATGTCATTTTTCGCATGAACTATTGCATTGTGTTTTATCATGAAAAGAGAAATATGAAAGAGAGAAATAGATAAAAGACGAACATCTGAGTAAAAATAAGTGTAAAAATTAGTTTGTTTAGTTTAGGGGAAATGTGAGAAATAGAATAAAAATAATATTAGAGTTATTTTGTTTAAATAGAAAAAGATTAAATAAATTATAATAGAAGAAATATTATTAATATAATATGTGCTGATAATATATTTTTTAATCGATTAAGTGGTTCAATATCAATTGAACATATCATTTTTATTTGTTTATAAATGAGTAAAGTGAAATCATAATCGATTAAAATGATATCTTAATCAATCAGAAACATTGAGTTATTCGTGTATTTATGAAATTATTCAATATGATACCCCTTCAACTGATTAAGAAGGTTGTAAGGGTCATTTGATTTCTTGTGATCAATTAAGATGCAATTGTAATCAAATTACAAGCAAAATTTTGGTCTCACAATGTGAAAGTATTTGAATATGTTACGTGTGCATTTGATTACATGTCATTGTCATGGGTTAATATAAATGCTTGTAATTAAATAGATATAACCTTAATCAATTACAAAAATGATAAGTGTCTAATTAGTTTGATTTAATACTCACTTGAGACACTTATCTAGCACATTTTGTATACATATTGATATTATTTTGATCTATATATGCTTAGAATCAAAGAGGTGCTTTTGATTAATGTTAGTATAGAGAATAGGAAGCCTTTGATCCAAATTGGTGCTTATTTTGTAGGTTTTGAAACCTGAAGAAGAATGGCTCAGCCATTCTGAAGCGCTCAGCGGATTCAAGTCAGAGAACTTCCCAAACTGAAGGCGCTCAACCATTATGAAGCGCCCAGCGGATTGGCCCCTGGAGGAGAAGGAATGCTCTCTGCCTCCAATCCGCTCAGCCATTCCCAATCCGCTCAGCGGATTTCATCCAGAAATGTGAAGGTGCTCTCTGCCTCCTATCCGCTCAGCGAATAAAAGGCGCTCAGCGCCTAGGTTCCTTCATGGTGAAGAATTCAGGTTTCTTCATGGTGAAGAACTCCCAATCCGCTCAGCCGTTTCAAGGCGCTGAGCGGATTCATATCTCTCTTGCTTACTCTGTTTTCATATATAAGGAAAGAAAGAGAGAGAAGTGGGGAGATATACGGAAGGAGAAAGAAAACAGAGTACTCTGGAGCTCGTGGGAACGCGAATCTTCAAAGGATCTTCTTCTTCTATCTCTCAACTTGTAATTTGGTGATTTCTTGTAATATGGAGAGCTAATCTCTAGGGTTGAGATATATGTAATCATCAAACTCCTATGTATTCTCTTTGATTCATATATATATATATATATTCCATTACTTTATGTTAGTGATTCTGTCCTGTTCTTAATGCTTTGATAATCTGATCACTTATCTCTGATCTCGGATTTCGGATTTGGTTGGAAAACGTTTCTGAATCCAGACTTGGAACGAATCACCTATTAGCTTTGAGAGCCAGGAATGGTCTTGAAATTAATAGTTGTATCAGGTTCTGATTCTTACAGCGGGATGTTTAACTGAATGAAGTGAGGAATCATTCATTGAGTTAAATATCTTAGAATTTCTTATGCCAAGGAATTGGGTTTGAATGAATTTAGTGAACTCAATGACAATGAGTAATGGAATCTTTAGAAAGAATCAATAGGAATACATAGGAGGGAGATTGATGAAATCAAATCCCGACTGTTTCTTATATCTGTTTTTCTTTAAATCAAATTACTCTGTGGGTTCTTGAAATTGGAAAATCATCTTTATCAAATTTGAATATGTGTAACTATTCCAGTTTTAAATTTATAAGCATCAATTAATATAATAGAAATCTAAGTTATCTCACAAGTCCCTGAGGTTCGACAACCTTTTATTCATACTACAGAGACTTGGGTGCGCTTGCCTATTTAAAATCCTAACAAAAAACTAGCTCCGTCACACATTAGCTATGTCACACATTTTTACACAGAGCAATGAGAGCGGTATGAATAAGGGCAAGACAATCATGAGAGAGGTTTACACACTCCAATCACCAACTCTTCATTTATTTCCATTTAAAAGAGTGAAGAAATAAAATAACTATGGGACTCAACTTTTTAATTTCTCATATGATAGTTTCACACCAAACAAACACACACACACACTCTAATTTTCCAACCCATATTTCTATCATCTCATCTATATTCTTTTGTTATCTTTACATAACCAAACCAAGTGTTAGTTTGATATATCAAACACATAGTAAAATGTTCTTGGTTTGAGACTTTTTCTTGAAAGTTTTAAGGTGTTATAAGTTTTTTAACAATATATAACTTTCATATAGCTAGTTTGAAAAGTTGAAAGAAAAAAAAAATAGAAGGAAAAATAATGAACAAAATTAGTGTTTCTCAATAAACTATGTGTAACAAACTATCATAGTCTCTACATTTAACGGTTCCTACTCGCAGTGGAATAAAATAACATCTAACTATTTAGGATTTAAAACAATACTTAGATATATGTACAACAATATATATGTGTAAAATTTAAACAACTAAAGGTATATGATAACTACAATAGTATATAAAGTATGTACAATAATCCAATATTGAATACTAAGTCTAATTTACTAGTTAACAAACTCTATCAAAAATAACTACATAAGAGCAATCAACAAGGTATCTACATCACCAACCGACAACATGGTCACAAATCGCCAACTCCTTCATTTTATCCATATCATGATCTTATATAAATATGATCATTGCAATCCAACCACTAAGAAACATACAGGGGTAAACTAGAGTACAAAAAGATAAAATATAACTCAAGTATAGAAGTGAAAACATCTATACTACTCACCAACATGTAAAACCAAACACGTATCACCTTATACTTTACACCATAGCAACACACCAAACATCTCAACATGGTATTCAACAACCTTACAAAAGTAAGAAACTTACAACATATGATTCATCATATTTCACCACATCAATACCAATCAACCATATGAATAACATTAAATCATACCATATCATATACATACACCTCAACTAATATGTTGTCATGCATTCACTTACGGAGATCTCTTACAACAAGGTGAACAATCTACATGGTTTGACCCTATTGAACCAATTGATATTTTTACACTTACTAGATCATTAGCTAAATGGGATATCAATCCCTACAACATGATTTAAATGTCTCTACTTAAATTAGGAATGTCCTGTACCATCGTAAGTTATAACATAGTTAGGTATGGACATACCACGACTTTAGCATACATAAACCAAGTCACTTATGAAATTAGCCTCTCAATTATCCTCGAGATATGACATACCTCTCTAGTAATCGATTACGGGTTTCAGCTCTCGACTGCATACCTTATTCCAACATTAGCTAAGGACTTAAAGGAATCTTAACAATTCACTCCAATAGATAACACCTACTCAAGCAGAATTTTTCAACAATTGAACTCATAAATCACCACACCAATATCCACATAATGAGATATTTAACTTTCAAAAATACCCTCTCTTTTAGTTTTAAGTCAATTAACATACCTAATAACCTATAATATTCTCAATATCAACTCTTCAATAGTCATTCAACTTATTATGTCTAAATGCCTAAATCATTTTTCAGTATCATGCCTCAATAAGTCAATCGTCATTTAACATATCATGTAAAAATACCTAAAGCATTCTTAGCATCACACCTTAACAAGTCAACAATCATTCAATATACCATGCATAAATCCTTAAAGCATTCTCAATATCACACCTCAACAATGTACCAACAATATAAACATATATATATATATATATATATATGTATATCCCAAGTCAAAATATAGATAGAACCTCAACACCTATCATCATACAACATGCAAGAAAATCCCTAACAAATTCATGTTCATCACATCATCAATCAAATAGTAAGATTTTACAAAACAAACCACACTCAACACAATGTACATTGTGCTCGACGCCATTCGAGATAGGGAGCCCTCTGCCTTGTTCACGTTTGAAGCCATTCACCCCACATCCGATGTGGATGAGGTAGAGAACCTCTAGACTCTTACATTTGATGTGGGAAAACTCACGTCCAACCCCATTTCAGGCAGAGACAAGTCTCTCTCCTTACATCTAACGTCACTCCTTTGATGCCCGACGCTAAATCAAGTAAAGACAATTCTCTCACCTCACACCTGACATCATTCAAATTAGGTTCGTTGTGACCATATCTAAGACTATTCTCTCTCTTCATGTCCAACGCCACCAATCCTACATTTGATGTGAACAAGATAGGCTCCTGATTTGAGTCATATTCAACGCCATGAAAACACGCTCGATATGATGATGAGTTATACACCTAGCAAACTCACCAATTGACTCTCCCTTCACCTGAAAACCAGAAAATCCAACAAGTAATGCAACATTTCACACATATACATCATTAACAACTCGTTTCCAACCTCAGAATCAACATGCAACATACAATTTGACCCAAACATAAAATTGTACCTCCAACATGCTTCACAACACTAAAAACCCACTACCTACCATCTCCAATTCCAACAATCATAACAACCACCCAGAAATGCAATTCAAGCAATCAATCCAAGTGAAAAATAACATGAACAATGAGAAATCAACAAATATCAGTCTAGCTTCCCTTATTTCAAGATATCAAGAATTTGAGAAAGAAGAAGAAAACTCTAAGTTCACCCCAAAACTTTGTATCACTTCGATCCTTAGCTAAGAGCTTTAGATCACTACTCTAGCAACTCAAGATGATCAGGGAAAAGATTTAGAGGTTCATTGTAGAAACAAAAGGAAGAAAAGGTCACCTTGGTTCTAAAGTGTCTTATTTTAACTTTCTCTCTCTCTAAATTTCTCTAAAAAATGGACTCATGAAACTCAAGTCTAAAAAAAAACTTTATATATCTTTCTCTCAGAATCAAATTAGACTTATGACCAAAGAAATCTTTAAAATCACCCAAAAATTTCTTAAGTATTCTTTAACTTTCAAAATCTCTCGATATCATAGTATATAATTATGCTAAAAAAACAATAATTATCGAAAATTTATAATATTACAGCCTAAATCCAAAATACAAAATCAACGTTTATTTTATTAACTTTTTACCACCTAATACATACATTCATAAAATATCATGTCTTATTTTTCTTTTCTTATTCTAAAAAAAAAATCACGTCTTATATTTAATTATACCGTAAAGTTTTCTTTAAGGTTGAATAATTATTTGTCTTTGTTGTTGATAGCAACATAGTTGAAACTCTATTTGATTTGTCTATCGATATACTTGGATGGGATGATTTTACAGGATCATTTAATTCTTTGTTATTCATAAAATAGAATTAAAATAGTTAAATCGTATGAATTGCAGTAAAGTATGACAATATATAAGCATAAAAGACTTAATAAAAAAATTAATCTTTCAATAATATAATCAATATTTTTTTTATATAGAATAATATAACAAATGTTATCATGTAAGAACATTCAAGACAACTATTAAGAACTACAAAATGTTTAACGAAACCAATACTTTACATTATATTCGACACTTGCAATTTTAATATATTAATAAATATGATTAAAGCATAATTACTTTTATCTATTAAAATTATAATAATAACACCAACATTTAAACTAACTTAAAAAGTATATGTATTATTACTTTAACTCTTTATAATACATTAACTCCTCACAATGAGAATGATTCTAATGGTTGAATGTGTTTAAAGAGTACTATCAAGTTTCCACATAGTTGAAGAATATGTTTAAAAAACATTTATTAATAAATTTGTCTAAAGAAAAAAAAAAAATTTAATATCCAATTATATCTCGAATAAAATTATTTTCTATAAAAGATATCCATAAAAATAGAAAATTTATAATTCATATATTGAAAAATATAAAATCCTATATATATTAGCTTTTTCGAGTAAAAAAAAGGAACTCAATTTTTTTAAAATACTGTCTTATTTAATAAATGAGCGACTTTTTTTTTTTTAACTTAATATCCCATTATATTTTGAATAAAATTACTTTTTATAAAAATCATATATATAAAAAAGAAAAATTAAAATTTGCAGGTTGACAATAGTTTTAACTTTTAAGGAATTAAAAAATAACACATTTTTTTCAAAAAAAATTCTTATTTAATAAATGAGATATTAATATTTTATATTTATTAAGTTGATACAAATGATACAATCTATCGTGACTTATCTTTTTAATTATACAAATTTAAACTCATGTAATCATAAAATTTTATTTTGATAGATATACTTATTTAAGAAAATTTCTTAGTCGATCATATTAAACAAGTTTATTTTGATCATTTGTAGGTTATTAAAAAAAAAAAAACTTACTCCTTATTAAACATATTTTATAACAAATAAAAGAACCATTTTTTAAACATGTGTGAAAAAAAAAATACAAGGAAAAAAGGCTGGAGTCTTGTTAAATTGATATAAACAATATGTTGGAACAAAATTCAACATTTTAAAAGTGAAGTGGAAGAAAGTAGAGTGAACTAAACCAAAGTATGAGTTGCATTGCATGGAAGAATTGTGAATTACATTAGAATGGTAAAAGAGAAACATGTGTTGAAGGAAAGCAAATAGAGTTACCTAAACCCAACAAGAATGTGTAACAGTGACACGTTTTGGGCACATTATATGTTAGTATCACAGTAGATGTGGTCCAGTCCTATTATAATTTACCAATGGTGTAACGCAGTAGTACTACCCTCATTTTACTTACCAACCAGTAACCTCACCATTCCCCTCCATTTTTTCACCTCTTCCAAAACCCTTGCGCCGCTTTTTTTCTTTTTTTTAAATTTTTTTTTTCTTTTTTTTACCATTTCATGGACCTCTTCGCCGCCGACCACTTCCCCGTCCCCGACCACGTCGCTCCATTTCCCGATTCCGGCGACCTCCTCTTCGCCGCCGACCCCCTCTCCCACCGCCACAACCCCCAGAAGCTCCGCCCCATCAGGTCCCTCCCCGCCACCAACCCTCCTCCTCCACCGCACGATCCGATTCCTTCCGGGTCGGGTCACGCCCCGCCTCACGAATCTCGGTAAGTTTTTTTTTTTTTTTTTCATCGCTATTCGGTAATCGATTATTAAAATAATTGGTCTGTTATTTTTAATTCAGTTTTAGTTTGTGTGGCCTTATCTTTTTTTACCTTTATGTATTTATCTTCTCTTTGCGGAATGGGGGCGGAACAACCAATAAAGTGGTGCCTTTTTTGTTTTTATTTTTATTTTTTAATTTATTTTGGTTAATGGGAAAAGATTGTGATTTGCGGTGGTGGCAGTGTTTTTTTTTTTATGCGATTAGGGGTTAAGTTTGAACTTGTGCTTAGAATATGTTGCGGTGCGGACAATTGTTGTCCATCATGATAGGCTTTGCGTTGTTGTGTCTTTATGAGGCCACAACTGGTCGCTACTTTGCATCATCCTTTTCTGATTCGAGAATGCTTTGTTTATGGTATTGTGCTTGTGTTGGTTAAAAAACACACGCATAGTACGGTTTTTTATTCTTCTTGTTGTAGTTGTTGGGTCAACAGCTATGTTTTACTTGCTCAAGTGTTTGTAGCATGTAGAATGTTCCATGTGACAATTGACAAACAAACCTTTGGGGCAAGGTCATGTAGAATGGAACCATTTTCCCAATGATTCAGTTACTTGTAAGTTACAATCCTTTGTTAACGAGAGTTGGGTCTAGCTGGAGAGGTTAATTTTCCAAAAGTACGATGAACGGAGGTTTAATTCTCACTACGAGGGGTTAATTCTTCAAAAACATGATGAATGAAAGTTTAATTCTCACCAAGAGTGGTGTCCATATTTAGTACTTGACTATGAGCATATTTGGAGACAAGCCTAACTAGGCTTTTAAGGGTTTTTCTACTGAAAAATACTCTAGAGATACTCTGAAAAACTATTCTAGACTGTATTCAGACAGGCTTTATGTCTCGAATAGGATTGATTGTCTATGACAAAGGAATACCTTTGAGAAACTAAAAAGTCTATCATGAAAATTTTGACATGGTTTTGGGCTGTTATTTTGATTTGTTCTTCCTTGTTTCAGCTCATCTTTGGATGCTGCGGATGAAGATGAGGATGATGACAATTCATCAGCAAGTAGTGAAGCACTCGGCTCTAGAAAGAGGAGGAGAAAGACAGAGCGAAAGCTTGAAGGTTTTGTGAAGAATTTGGTGACAAAGGTGATGGAAAAGCAAGAGCTGATGCACAGACAGTTAGTGGAAATGATAGAGAACAAGGAAAGGGAAAGGATAAAGAGAGAAGAAGCTTGGAAACACGAGGAGATGGAGAGAATCAGAAAAGATGAAGAAGCTAGAGCCCAAGAGAGGTCCCGCAATTTGGCCCTCATATCCTTCATTCAGAATCTGTTGGGCCATGAAATTCAGATCCCCCAACCAGTAGAAGAAGCATGCGGCAAAAGAGAAGAGGATGAAGTTGAGGTGAATGCACAAAAGGATTTGAATAATGACTCAAGTAACAACAGATGGCCTGATGTTGAAGTGCAATCACTGATCACTGTGAGAACTTCATTGGAGCACAAGGTTCGTCTAATGGGGTCCAAAGGGTCAATATGGGAGGAGATATCTGAAGCAATGCATGGCATGGGATACAATCGCTCTGCAAAGAAGTGTAAGGAGAAGTGGGAAAACATCAACAAGTACTATAAAAGGACAGTAGGGAGTGGCAAGAAAAGGCGTCTCAATAGTAAAACTTGCCCTTACTTTGATGAGTTGGACACTCTGTATAGAAACGGGCCTCTAAGTATTGGAAACGCCTCAAGCAATACCAGTGATGTTCCCCAGATTGAAGAAAAGGAGTAGAGTGAAACTTGAATACTAGTTCTTCATAGTCATAAATACGGCTTATGTAAAATTTAGTTCACTTCAGCATTTATTTATTTAGTCATTCTTCTTTTGAATCTCCTCACTAGTGACTTTAGTGGACAACATGCCACCCTTTAACTCTGCATTTAAAATTTTAAATATGAAGTTCATTAGTTTCATTGATAAATAATACATATATATTTGGTTGGGGTGGCTTATGGGCTTATGGCAATGGACAGAGGTTTTCTTTTACCACTTGGTGTTGTTAAGATGAAATTGGAGTTTTAAAACAGTACCAAAAATATTAAAGTTCTGTATTTTTGTTTTGTCCCAACACAATACTGTTGACCAAGATGATTTAGAGTAATTTCCATCACTTCAGCAGTTCTAATTGAAAAGAAGAGAAATTCATTCCTATGAAAAGTAGTTTGTGTTTAAGGGGACCTTTGAAAAAGTTCTTAGGGAACTTAATAAGGCTTATCACAAATTGTAAGGTGAAGTTTATTAATACAAGTTTTCATGTGTGATAAACTCTTAAGTTTTTAATCACATAATATAAAGTATTATGATCAATCACATAATATAGGAGAAGTATTATAGAAGTTTCGTTACTTTTGATTGTGAATCAATTTCTATTTTTAATCAAAACATCAATTTATTAACAAATAAAGAAAATCTGGTGGCCTAACTTAAATATTCTAAGCTAATTCACTGTTTGATGTATGTCATGACTTGTACTCATTTAGACATAGCATATGTTGTAAGAAAATTAAGTAGGTAGATAAGTAACTCAAGTAAATACAATTGACATGTTCTAATAGTATCGAAATATTTGAAGGAGACAATGAATTATAGTTTGATCTATAATGGGTAAATCATACAAAATCCATTCCTCACAAATGGGTGGGTTTCCTCTATGGTTGCAAAATTCATAGCTTTGGTTGGCAAGTAGCAAAGGAAAAATGACTAAGAAATTATTGCATAAATTATTGTATGAGATGTCAATTTGGCCAAAGCCAATGGTATCACTGCACTATCCATATACTGTGATAGTCAAACAACATTATCAAATGCAAATAGTTAAGTATATAACGGAAAGTCCAAAACACATTGACATTAGACATGTGAAGGACTTAATTACAAACGAAGTTATATCCATAATATTTTTAAGAATAGAAAAAAAAAATGTAGATCCTTTTATGAAAGAATTGATATTGGACACACTGTAAAACATGAGAGATGAAACTCAAACTCATACATAATTAATCACCAATGATAGAAATCCAATTAACACTTGTAACATCAAGTCTTCAAATCAATGGAACAATACCAAATGTCAAAGGCTTGTATAAGGTAATTGCACACACACACACAGACCAAATGGAAGGTAATTGCCAACACACACACACATACACAGAGCCCAAATGTGTAAGGCTTGTAGAAGGTAATTGCCAATTGCACCTCTTATTTTGACCTGAGCCCAAATGTGAAAGGCTTGTAGAAGATAATTGCCAACTGCACCTCTTATTTTGACCTGTACACACCTGTTTTTTCCCTCTAAATTGCCCTTCTAAACACTCTCTAATCTCTTTCACCCTCTCTCCCTTTTTGCCTCCCCAATCTGCCACCCACCCCTATACCACACACACACCCCTCGTTAAATCTTCTTATGAAAACTCTTTCTCTTGTTGTAAGCATTTCCCCATAGATCGTTCTTTCATAGGCATCTATTTCATGCTAACAAATAGCAACAAAATTCACACACACGGAGCAATTCAAACATATTTATCTTAAATACAGATAATGGTTAACTTTCAATTTCATAAATAAAACCAAAATGAATCTGAAAATAATTCCAAAATTGTCACGAAAGCCTGAAAATAGGATTGTGTTTCATGAATGAGACAAATGGAATAAAACCAAAACAATTGTCTCTTATCGCCATAAGTGACGAACCAAAGTCAGTCTTCGTCAGCCAACGACAATGGCAAGTTACAACATGCCACCATGTGCATTTTTTTATTCATAGACATAATTCTTCCAATATTTAAAAACTAATAATTAATAATCATATGAATTCCACAAATCAAACATTATTTTAATATCACTGTACCAATGAAAATTGATCGTGAAAACACCAAATTAACTTCTGTGTTTCAAACAAACCTTCCAATTATTAGACAAAAGGCTTGATTTCCTCCTGTGCATTTACTAATTACTAAATACAGTATCATATTTAACTAAGCCCATATTTTGTTGGGATTCATCCCAAGTCCCACATCGGTAAAATGAAGGAACATTGGCTAGTTTATAAGTGTCCACCATTCCACATAGTATGAGGCCTTTTGGGAAGGAGCCCAAAAACAAAACCGTGCGGGCTTGGGCCCAAAGCGGACAATATCATACTATGGTGGAGGAACGGGTGGACTAGCGGGCCCTACATATTTAACTAATGTCTTGTACAAAAGATTTTGTAAAACTGAATCAATTTGTGTCATTTGGCAAAAGCTAATACAAATAGTTAAGGTTTCTTTTTTGTTTATAAAGTCGAAGCAACGTTGAGACTTATTTTAAAATACACATGTATGCAACACTTTTTACTCGGGTAATTTTTTGTTTGTTGTTTTTCTTTCTTTTCCTACTTTATATATAAAATAAATAAATAAATAAACCATGTCTTGGATCTCATGGAAAGAAAAAACGGGCCAATCATACATCTACTCGCTCGTCATTAATTAGTAAAGTTATTATAACAATTAATATCTTCACAGTCCTCTGTATATTAATTCAATCTTTATTTCAATTTTATCTTATCCACGTTTGGTGCTACAATGATTCAAGTACCCCTCATGTGTTGCCCAGCCAGAGTGCCAGCTAGTGGAGCATCTTAATTATAATCCCATGGGTTCACGAATTTTCCTAATAATTTAAAACAAAGACACTAAAAACCACAAAATTAGTCACCTATAAAAATCCCCTTACACTTGTCCAACTTTCATGACCAATATTCACAAACTAAGAACTAATAATAACCTTAGTTGTGTGAAATTAATGGCTTCAAACGGCTTTGTTTCATTTGCTCTACTCCTTTGTCTCAACATGCTTTCCTACACTTTGGTGAACTCCACCTACGTCCCTGTGATCCCAGACCCATCAGTGCCTTACCAAAAGGGTACATGTCCTATAGATGCACTCAAGTTGGGTGTGTGTGCCAAAGTGTTGAACTTGGTCAATGTTAAATTAGGGTCACCACCAACCCTACCTTGTTGCAACCTCATTCGTGGTCTTGCTGATCTTGAAGTTGCTGCTTGTCTTTACACTGCCCTCCAAGCTAACGTCCTTGGCATCAACCTTAACGTCCCCATTTCCTTGAGTGTAATTCTCAACAACTGTGGAAGGAAAATCATTGATTTCCAGTTCCCTTAAATTCATCGCTCTACCCACAATATGTTGTCAGCTTTGTCATATTTCGCATCTCATTGCGCTTATTTTTCTTTTCAATTCATCTTCTACTCTATATATAGTGAGAAGGTGAGAGGGAGGTTTCATATATATATGAGAGTGGGAGAAGTTAATTTCAGTTATTGGATTAAATTTAATGACTCAAATTTAATTACTCATTAAACAACTTGTGTGTCCTTTATTTCACGTGTATTTTCATTTTCTACATAAAGACACTCTCTTTCCTCTTTTTATTTGTCTTCTTAATTCTTAAAACAATAAAGAGCTAGCATCTCCTTGACTGACCTTAATATCTCCTTTCCTTTACTTTTCTTGATTTATCAAACCTAAGGTTTTTTTTTTTTTTTTTTTTTCACTTTATTTCTATTAGTCTTATTGAATTCTCCAAACAATATAAAGCTTCTCTGCACTAAAAAATTTGTAACAATTTACACACTTTTTTTAACCAACCAAGCTAAACTCTGAATCAAGGTTGGGTTTTATCAACACTTCTTCACATCCATATAATAAGAAGTGAATTCTTTTGTCTTCAAGAACCAATAATAACTTGACTATTTTTATTCTCTTAATTATACATTTTTAATATTATTTTTCCTTTTTAAAATATAAATTTTACATATTATTTTTTGTAATTAAAAAAATTTTCACCAAAAAGTAATATCAAATTATATTATGTTTATCTTTATGTGAATAAATACAAATTTTAATTGTACAACCTTTCAGTCTATTATATATTTTATCTTTGATTTTTTTATTAGTTTTTAACAATTTTTTTTAAGAAATTAACAATAATTAAAATGATTTAATATCAAAAATTAAATTATTGATTATAAATTCAAATTTTAGTTTATATATTTAAATCTATTTATTTTTTATGAATTTTAATTATAATATAATTTAAACATTAAAAATATTTTTAATTTTAATTATATAAAAATAAATTTTATAATGTGTAATATATAAATAAAATATTTATTTATATATATTGATATTGTCTTCACTACTTCAAATTTTTAAATCCATCATAAATGTCAGTTGTTATTTTAACTGATATAAAAAGTTTGACATTATTTTAGAAAATGTACGTTTTTCCCTTTTTATTTGTAAAATCCAAAAATTTAATATATCTATCCTCTGTGTAAGCCATAAGTTTGTACTTTCAAATGAAAAATCAAACATGCTATTCATCTCGTAACACAATCAACTTAAGAACGAATTTGTTACTTTGGTAACAACTAGAAAACTATGATATCTTTAACATTTTATAGACTCAGGACAAAATTATAGACAGAGATCGACCTCTTTATATATACATATTTTAAAACATAAATATTTATTCTAATAAAAAGTAAATACATAAATACATAATTTTTAAATATTTTAAAATATAAATATTTATGTGTTCTAATAAAAAGTAGATAAAGTGTCCTTTATCAATTATTATTGAATAAATATTTTCGTGTGCACAAAACTAGAGAAGGCCAGGAGGTAATCAAGTGAGTCCATGGTGAATTATGTAAGCATCAAATGATTTTTTTTAATATATATTAAAGCAAACAAACATTTACTTTAATTTTATGGTATAATTTAAAATAATTATTATTTTTTTTAACTTGAGTCTTTGATTTGATCTAAATTTATCTTAATTAATTTGTAGAAGGTTGATTTTAGTTTATAACTTAATTAAAATTTAGAAAATTTATAAGCTTTTTTATGTTAATTTGAAGATGAGAAGGAAAAGGATAAATAACATTGAAAAAAACAAGTGGAAAGCTTGATGAAATATCAAGAGATAATGAGAAAATTGGCTAAGTTTTTTGGTGCTCAACGTGAAATTTCATGTTCAACACCAACCTTTTAAAGAATGATTCAATTTGTCACATTGAGCTTTGAATTTTACTCAATGTCACAATTCTATAGGTCCATTTTTGTTATTTTCTATCTCACACTCAACGTGAAATTTCAAACTCAATGCTAAAATGTTGACCTGTCATTAATAAAAAGAGACAAAGGATTATGACCTAAAATCAAGAGATTTGAAGACAAATCATAAAGAAAAATTTCTCGAAGTGTGTTGGTTAGAAGAACTTTCATGGCTTAAAGATAAAGTTTCTTCAACTTTTCATGATTTTTCTTGTGCTCTATATTTATGTGTAGCTAAATTTACCCTTATTGAAGTTTGTTGTAATCATATTTATTCTCATGGTCACATTCTAAGTTATTAATCCTAGTTATTATTTAGTATTATGGTTCACTTCTTTGCTTAATGCTTATTATGATTTGATCTCTATTAATTAACTTGATTTTGTGAATTTAAAGTGATTGAAAAATATTTGTGAACTTTTGAACTGAAGTAGAATTAGCTAATGGGGTTCACCTCTAGAAATGGAGTAAATGATATTAGTCATTCATAAACTCTTATTTTTAAAACTAAGCTCTTAGTTAAGTTATGCAAAGAATTTATAACTTAGTCAAGAAATTTAGATTCTAACTTGCAAGGAATTAAGATTTGAGTATATTTGTGAGTTGAATAATAATTTTTGACTTGTAACTAGATTAAAGCTTGTTTGTAAATATGAAAAGATGTTTTGATGAAGTTAAACCTCAATATATTTTAGTATTGTTCTAAAATCAATTTTTGTATTTTAGTGTTCATAAAATTATTAAAAATATTTCTTACAACAGTTATTTTTATTTATACATTTTCTTTATTTTCACAAACAATTAAAACTTTCATTTTCGATAATTTAATTTAATATGATTAATAATTTGTGTTAAATATTATTACAATACTCATATTTATCATTAAACTTACCAATTGATACAATTGTTAAACAGATAACAACCTCCAAAATTTATGGTCCAAGTGCTAATCCACCTCAAAATAGGTTTCAAGACCAAGTCATTTTCGAGTCTTATATCTATCAATCTTGCTGTTTTGACTCTATATGTATATATAAATTATATATGTTTAATGTATTACATGTATCTTTTACTAGTTTTTGAATTATTAAAAGATGTAAATTGGTTGGATGAGAAAGTGTCTCTTGTGATGCTATTAACCAATGAAATAATGTACGAACAGCTATATATTACAAATTAGAAATGAAAAGAAACTTTATCGTTGATATGATATGTATGTAAACTAATATTCACGTGTTATGATACGACAAATTAATATATGTGACATCATATTTTAATTCTTAATTATAGTGACATCTATTCGAATCTTTTTATAAAATATAGTGAATAAATTTTTATGGTTTGGTGGACAAGTGAAAATTGAATAGTAACATATAAAAAGTCATTTCAATATGATATATACAGTTTGTCTGTTTTATAAACACGAGTTATAACAGTTAATATTGTGTACAGAGTTTTAATTTTGATATATTATTAATGTAAATAATTTTATATTTTAATTAACTTAAAATTATATTAAATATAATTTATAAAATAATAATTCTAAAAATTAATATTTCAATTAAGTAATAATTTATAATTGAATTATAGTGAAAATATTTGTATTTTTAATATATTTTAATTAAATTATTATATAATAATTGATATGTAAAACTGCTATTCTTCTTTTATATACATATAATTGCAAGAAATATTTTTTTATTGTTTATTAAAACTAATTTCTTTCGAAAGATCTAAAGACACTTAAAGTGGGTTTGTCTTCTTTTAACTAATTTTTTTTTCATATAAAGGCGTGTTTGTCTTCTTTTAACTAATTGTCTTTTCTTATATAAAAGTCAAGATGTAAACCCTTTTAACCACTTATTTAAGGGGTTCGGTTTCATGCATCATCACTCATATTAACCACTTGATAGTATAAAATTTGCAAAATTACAATTTATATAAAACATGGCAACGATATGCTTGTTTGTCACACTACTAACTAGTATATAAAATTTATGCGTTTTTTTTATTATGGAATATATATATATATATATATATATATATATTGTACTAACCGTACTTCGCACCCGGGTTCCGAGCCCGGATTGGTGCCTTTTTTGTTTTTATTTTTATTTTTTAATTTATTTTGGTTAATGGGAAAAGATTGTGATTTGCGGTGGTGGCAGTGTTTTTTTTTTTATGCGATTAGGGGTTAAGTTTGAACTTGTGCTTAGAATATGTTGCGGTGCGGACAATTGTTGTCCATCATGATAGGCTTTGCGTTGTTGTGTCTTTATGAGGCCACAACTGGTCGCTACTTTGCATCATCCTTTTCTGATTCGAGAATGCTTTGTTTATGGTATTGTGCTTGTGTTGGTTAAAAAACACACGCATAGTACGGTTTTTTATTCTTCTTGTTGTAGTTGTTGGGTCAACAGCTATGTTTTACTTGCTCAAGTGTTTGTAGCATGTAGAATGTTCCATGTGACAATTGACAAACAAACCTTTGGGGCAAGGTCATGTAGAATGGAACCATTTTCCCAATGATTCAGTTACTTGTAAGTTACAATCCTTTGTTAACGAGAGTTGGGTCTAGCTGGAGAGGTTAATTTTCCAAAAGTACGATGAACGGAGGTTTAATTCTCACTACGAGGGGTTAATTCTTCAAAAACATGATGAATGAAAGTTTAATTCTCACCAAGAGTGGTGTCCATATTTAGTACTTGACTATGAGCATATTTGGAGACAAGCCTAACTAGGCTTTTAAGGGTTTTTCTACTGAAAAATACTCTAGAGATACTCTGAAAAACTATTCTAGACTGTATTCAGACAGGCTTTATGTCTCGAATAGGATTGATTGTCTATGACAAAGGAATACCTTTGAGAAACTAAAAAGTCTATCATGAAAATTTTGACATGGTTTTGGGCTGTTATTTTGATTTGTTCTTCCTTGTTTCAGCTCATCTTTGGATGCTGCGGATGAAGATGAGGATGATGACAATTCATCAGCAAGTAGTGAAGCACTCGGCTCTAGAAAGAGGAGGAGAAAGACAGAGCGAAAGCTTGAAGGTTTTGTGAAGAATTTGGTGACAAAGGTGATGGAAAAGCAAGAGCTGATGCACAGACAGTTAGTGGAAATGATAGAGAACAAGGAAAGGGAAAGGATAAAGAGAGAAGAAGCTTGGAAACACGAGGAGATGGAGAGAATCAGAAAAGATGAAGAAGCTAGAGCCCAAGAGAGGTCCCGCAATTTGGCCCTCATATCCTTCATTCAGAATCTGTTGGGCCATGAAATTCAGATCCCCCAACCAGTAGAAGAAGCATGCGGCAAAAGAGAAGAGGATGAAGTTGAGGTGAATGCACAAAAGGATTTGAATAATGACTCAAGTAACAACAGATGGCCTGATGTTGAAGTGCAATCACTGATCACTGTGAGAACTTCATTGGAGCACAAGGTTCGTCTAATGGGGTCCAAAGGGTCAATATGGGAGGAGATATCTGAAGCAATGCATGGCATGGGATACAATCGCTCTGCAAAGAAGTGTAAGGAGAAGTGGGAAAACATCAACAAGTACTATAAAAGGACAGTAGGGAGTGGCAAGAAAAGGCGTCTCAATAGTAAAACGATTTGCGGTGGTGGCAGTGTTTTTTTTTTTATGCGATTAGGGGTTAAGTTTGAACTTGTGCTTAGAATATGTTGCGGTGCGGACAATTGTTGTCCATCATGATAGGCTCCAAAGAAAGAGGAAGGTCGGCGGTGAAAGGCGGGATGCCATCATCATTGAAACGCAGAAACTGCTCAACGCCGGTTTCATCCGGGAAGTCAGGTACACTACATGGCTGGGAAACGTAGTCCTAGTAAAGAAGAACTCGGGAAAGTGGCGCATGTGCGTCGATTACACCGACCTCAACAGAGCATGCCCCAAGGACTCGTACCCCTTGCCGAGCATCGATAGGTTAGTCGACGGAGCATCCGGGCATGCCCTCCTCAGCTTCCTCGACGCCTATTCCGGGTACAACCAGATAATGATGTATCCACCGGATGAAGTACACACGTCCTTCATCACTGATCGTGCCAACTACTGTTACCGGGTGATGCCCTTCGGCCTCAAAAACGCAGGGGCAACCTACCAGCGGCTGATGGACAAAGTCTTCCACCACCAAATCGGGCGAAACATGGAGGTCTACGTGGACGACATGGTGGTAAAAACCATCTCGGCAACGGACCATGCCTCCGACCTTGCCGAGGTGTTCGCCCAGATCAGAAAACACAACATGCGTCTCAACCCGGAGAAATGCGTCTTCGGTGTCCGGGGAGGAAGATTTCTTGGCTTCATGATCACCAGTAGAGGAATCGAAGCCAACCCCGAGAAGTGCGAGGCCATCATACACATGCAAAGCCCACAATCGGTAAAAGAGGTGCAACGCCTGGCCGGACGGCTGGTCTCACTGTCCCGGTTTATCCCTAAACTCGCGGAGAAGGCGGGACCAATTTTCACCCTGTTAAAGAAACCAAAAGACTTCTCGTGGACCGACCAGTGTGAAGCAGCGTTCCAAAGCTTCAAAAATTTCCTCACAACCCCGCCAATCTTGCAAAGGCCGGATCACAACACCGACCTCCTTCTTTACCTGGCAGTGGCAGAAGGCGCCATCAGCGCCGTCATTGTACAAGAGCATCAGAAGGCTCAAACCCCAATCTACTTCATCAGTCGGGTCCTCCAAGACGCCGAAAGAAGGTACCAAATGGTCGAAAAGCTGGCGTTGGCACTGGTCACCGCAGCCCGGCGACTCCGACCTTACTTCCAAAGCCACCAGGTGGTAGTCAAAACCGACTACCCCATCAAACAAATCCTGCGAAAGCCTGAGCTTGCCGGGCGCATGATTGCCTGGTCAATAGAACTGTCAGAGTTCGGAATCCGGTACGAAAGCCGCGGACCTCTAAAAGCCCAATGTTTGGCCGACTTCGTAGCCGAGCTCACGCCGGCCACCACAGAAGAACCCCAAGCATGGACCCTCCATGTAGACGGATCCTCCAACTCCAAAGGAGGAGGTGCAGGCATCATCCTGGAAGGACCAAACCGAATCACCGTGGAACAATCCCTCAAGTTCGGATTTAAAGCAACTAATAACCAGGCAGAGTACGAAGCTCTCCTCGCCGGACTAAGATTAGCCCGGGACCTCGGAGCTCGAAGAGTAAGCTGCAACAGCGATTCCAAACTCATGGTAGAACAGCTTGGTGGAACGTACCAAGCAAAGGACGCCCTCCTACAGAGATACTTTCATACCGCAGCCCAACAGATCTCGTCTTTCGATGAGTTCTCCATAAAACACGTACCGCGAGAGCAGAACACCAGAGCAGACCTACTGTCAAAACTCGCCAGTACCAAAAAGCCCAAGAAACACCGAACCATTATCCAGGAAACCTTGCACTCACCCAGCCTGGATGATAAAACTGTCAATGTCAACGACAGCGAAGAGCTAGGATGGATGACAGACATATGGAACTACCTAAAAGATGGAGCCCTGCCTACAGATAAGGATGAGGCAAGGAAGGTGAGAATGCGATCAGCAAAGTTCACCATCATCGACGGTGAATTATTCAAACGCGGAATTTCCATCCCACTGCTCAAATGTTTGACCATATCTCAAGCAGACTATGTTGTCAAGGAAATTCATCACGGAGTATGCGGAATGCACTCCGGAGCTCGCTCGATGGCAGCCAGGGTACTCCGGGCTGGGTACTACTGGCCCACCTTGAAGTCAGATTGCCAAAACTACATCCAGAAATGCAAAGAGTGCCAGCAGTTTGGCAACGCGCATCGACAGCCCCCCGAGGCTCTTCACCACATGATGGCAGCATGGCCTTTCTCCCAGTGGGGAATGGACATCCTTGGGCCTTTCCCCCCCGCGAAGGGTCAGTTAAAGTTCCTCCTGGTGGCAATCGACTACTTCACCAAGTGGATCGAGGCGCGCCCACTTGCCAAGATCACCACGGAAAACGTGCGAAAATTCACATGGAAAAACATCGTTTGCAGATTCGGAATTCCCCACACTATTGTCACTGACAACGGGCGGCAGTTCATCGCAGAAGAATTCGAAGTCTTCCTCCAAGAACTCGGAATTAAGCACTTGCCGACCTCGGTGGAGCACCCCCAAACCAACGGCCAGGCCGAAGCAACCAATAAGGTCATCCTCCGGGAACCCAAGAAACGACTAGGGAACGCAAAAGGGGAGTGGCCCGACATGCTTCCCGGCATCCTCTGGGCATACCACTGCACCCCACAGTCAACCACGCAAGAAACACCTTACCGACTATCTTATGGTGCCGACGCAATGATCCCGGTAGAGGTCGGACAAACATCCCACCGACGCCAAGTCTTCAACAATGAACAAAATAACCACGAGCTAGCAACAGCCCTCGCCCTGCTAGACGAGCTCCGAGACGAAGCCCAAATCCACGCAGAAGCTTGCAAACTCCAGGCCGCCCGAAGATACAACTCCCGGGTGAAACCCCGGTCTTTCCGGGAAGGCGACCTAGTATGGCGGCTACTCGGAGAAGCACGAAAGGACACGTCGGACGGGAAGCTCGCACCCACTTGGGGCGGCCCATTCCGAGTCGCAGAAAACCTGGAAAACGGAGCCTACCGGCTAGAGGAGCTCAGCGGGAAGCCCGTTCCACGAACTTGGAACGCTACCCACCTCAAATTTTACTTCAGTTAAACTTTGTACAAATACACGATGCACTCTTTTCCCACCTCAGGAAAAACACACTAACTGAGAGGGGTTTTTTAACGAGGCACACGGCTTTCATCAATAAAATGACTCGTTTCTTTTATATATTCGAAATCCCTTACGGTGCCGTGACCCGGTCATTCAAATAGAGGTCGAAAACCAACCTCACTTCATTCGAATAGAGGTCGAGAACGAACCTCATTTCATCCAAATAGAGGTCGAAAACGAACCTCACTTCATTCAAATAGAGGTCGAGAACGAACCTCATTTCATTCAAATAGAGGTCGAGAACGAACCTCATTTCATTCAAATAGAGGTCGAAAACGAACCTCACTTCATTCAAATAGAGGTCGAGAACGAACCTCATTTCATTCAAATAGAGGTCGAAAACGAACCTCACTTCATTCAAATAGAGGTCGAGAACGAACCTCATTTCATTCAAATAGAGGTCGAAAACGAACCTCACTTCATTCAAATAGAGGTCGAGAACGAACCTCATTTCATTCAAATAGAGGTCGAAAACGAACCTCACTTCATTCAAATAGAGGTCGAGAACGAACCTCATTTCATTCAAATAGAGGTCGAAAACGAACCTCACTTCATTCAAATAGAGGTCGAGAACGAACCTCATTTCATTCAAATAGAGGTCGAAAACGAACCTCACTTCATTCAAATAGAGGTCGAGAACGAACCTCATTTCACTCAAATAGAGGTCGAAAACGAACCTCACTTCATTCAAATAGAGGTCGAGAACGAACCTCATTTCACTCAAATAGAGGTCGAAAACGAACCTCACTTTACTCAAATAGAGGTCGAACACGAACCTCACGTCACCCAAATGGAGGTCGAACACGAACCTCACTTCACTCAAATAGAGGTCGCAAACGAACCTCACTTTATTCAAGTGGAGACCAAAAACGAACCCCACTTTACTCAAACAAAGGTCGAAAACGAACCCCATCTTACCCCGTCACAAGACAAAAAGAAACCTCATTATTAACGGTTGCAAATAAACCTCACCACCAAAAACACAGGGCAAAAAGCCAATCTGAACTTCGTCGTAACAAAAATCAGGGTGGAAATAGCAACACCTAAACAAAACTTGCATAACTGAGAAGTATAATTCATAAGACAGTCAGAAACAGGAAATACAAAAATTATCCTATACAGAGGCATTGTCACTAGAACTCTCCTCGACGTCGTCCTCCCGGACTAACCGCCCGAAGCGGACAACCTTCTCCAAGTGCATCCCGGAAAGGTCGAACCCCGGCGCAAGGAGCCTAGCCTTGAGAAAGCCTCTCTTATGTTCCACCACGATGGAGCGCTCGACTTCCTCGAGTCTCTTCCTCAAAGCGGCATTCTCGGCCTCTAGAGCTGAAAGACTCTCCCTCTGATGGACCACCTTCGCCTCCTTAGTACTGAGGACCACCTCATCGCAAAGACGTTCCTCAGATACAGACGCCATTTCACCCTTCCAAAAGGATATCTCCTCCTCCAGAGAGCGAACCTGGCTAGCATAAGCCTCGTTAGAACGGAGGGCCGCCTCTAACGATCCCCGGGCCTCGGCAAGATCCCTCTGCGCCGCCTGAAGCTCGACCCCCTGCAGCTTCGCCTCGAGCAGAGTGGCGGCCAGAACTTTATTCTCCTCCATCAAGGGCTGCACCTGGCCCTTCAACCTTGATAACTCCTCCTGCTGCCGGGACCATTTGCGCTTCCAATAATCCACAATGGTCGTGCCCCTCTGCAAAAAGATCTGGGCAGCGTCAAAACTTGCCACGGGCCCGGCGGATTCAAACATCGCCTGATCGGCCGCACTCAAGGAGCCCTGCGGAAAAAACTTCTCAGGCGTCAGCAAGGCGCTCCACCAAGAGTCGATCCCCTCCAATGCACTCAGGTGCTCCAACCGTGTTGGCGCACCCTCCTGCGCATAACGATACGCAAGGTAGGGACGCTTGGGCGGCCCCCTCGTCGCAAGCGTAGGAGCCGGAGTCCCAGAGCCAGAGCCCTCACCACGACGATCGGTTGAGGAGGAGGAGGCCACCGGCCCAACCGCTGGTCCAGTCGCCAGGACGTTATCCCCCACCACCGGTGACCTTCGACCATCAGAAACCCCTGCGGTGCTCCCCGCCTACAAAAAATATAGAGCAAAAAAAAAATATAAAAATTTCACCAACTAAACAAGAGACGCAACAATGTAGCAGATCACAGCCACACGTTGCCCACCTCAACAATAGGAGCAAGCCGCCCAACGGTCAGAATCTCCGCTTCAGAAGGCACACCAGCCTGGCCAACGGCCCGGGAAGTCGACCCAACGACAGCCTCCACCTACGAGGAACGATCCCAACTCAGAAACACTAAGCAAAAGCATACAAAGGAAAAGCTAACAAGGTGACAAATAGTCCCTACCCCTCGACCAGCAGCCTGCACAGGCACTTCAGCAGAAAGGCGGAGGGGCTCGATATCCGGCTCCGCCACCCGAGCCCCCCCCTCCAACTATTGAGCTTGCGGTTCTTTAATTTCGTAGAAAAAATATACTCCTAGTCTATCTTTACTTGAAAAAATATGCTCTATGGAGCCTAAGATTTTGAAATTGAATGTAATTATTGATGGTAACTTGCTACCAGACATTTCTCAGTAGATAAGACCCATAAGGCAATTACTCACATCTTAAGCCTCATGTCTGTTTTGCGATAAATAAACTAATAAGCCAATTTTTGGCAACCCTTATGACCACTCATTTGAATGCAGTCCATCATCTGTTAAAATATTTAAAAGTTCATTTATTTCTAGGTCAAGGGATATTAATTATTATCAACTAATTCCATCCTGCAACTATAAGCATATGCTGATTCCAATTTGGGGGCAATTATGTGGACACCAAAAAAGTTATTGAAAGACTTTGCGATTCCTCCATTATCTTAATGTTCAGTGGCAATCAAGTTCCCATCCTTATAGCATCAAATCCTTCATTTTGTGATCTAAACCATTGATTCTTAGGAAAGTGCAAAATGACGCCATAGGCCTAGCTCATCTTGACATTCTCAGTTCTCGTTAAACCTCTTCCTAGATCATTGTTTAATTCTCTATTGTTCAAGAATCATATCCTAAATTAAACATTTACTTCCCATCTTAATTGAGTATATCAGTTTTAGATAGTAGTCAATTAATGTAACTTTTAATTGTTTTTCCAATTCCCTTTTCATATATGTACATATATTCTGTTGTAATTCAGCTGTGATCAAATGAGAACTTTCATTCAGTTTAGTTCATATATATCTACTTAATATTCTCGATCTGTGTTCTTTTACGCACCATTAATTCTAAAATTCTTATCCATATAATACAAACGTTTATATTAAAAGTTTTTAATACAAAAATCAAGGTTGCAAATTTTTAAAATATTTAAAAATTATTTAATATTTTATTTCTTTAATTTAAATTATCGTATAAAATATTTTTATGATTATCTATTAATTTGAATTAATAAAATAAAATATTAAATAATTTTTAAATTTTTACAAAAAATTTACATACTTAATTTATATTTTAATTTAACAGTTGAATCGTTAAAATTTATATAAAATATTAATTATTAAATAAAATAAATCAAAGTAACCTTAGTCTTGAAATAAGTGATTTCTTCTCGTATAAATATAAATGGTCCACACGCTATTGCAAAGTAAACGATTAGAATTTAACGTGCTTTTGTATATGGGACTGATTTTCATTTTACTCGCCTTTGCATGTCTTGTTTATTTTCAGTTTTCACTTTTTAATTACAAATTGTTACGTAGTTTTTTATTCGTTCCTGTTTTTAATTTATACATAATAAAAAAGGAGTTATTTTTCATGCTGATTTAAAGTTTTAATAAGTATTAATTTGAATATTATATGGTGCTGATTTTGTTTTTTAATTGAAGGTACTAAAAGAAATTCAAACAAAATAAATTAATTCTCTGCTACAACGATTAAACTATATTAAACGTTTGACTTTTGTGAAAATGCATGTAATATAATTATAAAGTATTAATCACTAACAACACTTTTAACTGTTATCATTGTTAAAATCAGTTTTTGGAAAGATTCTATTTGAAATCAATTATGTTAGAAGATAATATAATTGAATAAGTTAATATAGTGTAAAATATTAAAATTATTTGATAAAAATTTAATTAATAATTTTATAGTTTCAAAACTAGAAAATAATTGATATGTTATATTAAATCAAAATCAAATATAAAATTTATCTAAAGCTCAAAATTTCAAAACACGAACACGAATACTACTTGTATTCACGTAACCTTTGTCATGAGACTCACAATAGTTACCTTTTGAGATTAACTAATTCTCTAATATTTTTTCTATATTAAATATAAATTATTATGTTATACGAGAATATTTTTTAAAAATTTATTTGATGAGAAAATTTATAAAAATTCTTTTAGTCTCTTATTTAATTTAATTTTTTATTTATTATAAATTTTTATTAATTAAATATTAATATTTTTATTTAAAGTATTAATAAATAATAAAAATAATGTTGTACTACAATATAAATTTAAAACAAAATTTATGCATTTAAAAAATATTTATTTATAAAATTTTAATTATAACTTATCCATTCAAACATAATATTTATTTGTATATATAATTTATTATAAATTTTAATTATATATAATAAATATGTTTCTGTATCGTAAATATTAAAAAAAAAAATACTAGTTCATAATGTTAATTTGTAATAATACATTTTGAATTATTGTTGTGACTACGTTATTGAATACTACGTTATTGAATACTATCCACGAATTGAGACTCCAATTAATTTCTTCACAAATTAGGATATGAATAACACGATCGATGAATTAGTAATGTATCTTTGTGGCCAATCACAAGCCTAGATTTTTTTCTTGTCTTGTCTGTGTGATTTCAATTTGTCTTGGACGCCATGGAAGGCAAAAACGGGCCAATTGCACACATCTACTTGCTTGTTATTAATCTGCAAAGTTATTATAATAATTAATATCTCTTTACGTCAATTTCCCCTCATCAAAAAAAGAACAGAAACTGTAGGCGTTTGGTGCTACAGTGATTCAATTTAATTAGGCATCGATCATGTGTTGCCATGCAGCCAGGGTGCCAGCTTGTGAAGCATCTCAATTATCATCCCATGGGTTCACGGGCTTTCTTAAGAAGTAATTAATAATAATTTAAAACTAAGAAACCAAAAACCACAAAATTAGTTACCTATAAAACCCCCCTTACATTTCTCCAACTTTCATCACCACAAACTAAGAACTAATAATCACCTTATTAGTTGTGTGAAATGGCATCCAACAAGGGCACTGTTGCATTTGCTCTATTCCTTTGTCTCAACATGCTTTCCTACACTATGGTGAGGTCCACCTACATCCCTGTGATCCCAGACCCATCGGTGCCCTACCAAAAGGGTACATGTCCTATAGATGCACTCAAGTTGGGTGTGTGTGCCAAAGTGTTGAACTTGGTCAATGTTAAATTAGGGTCACCACCAACCCTACCTTGTTGCAACCTCATTCGTGGTCTTGCTGATCTTGAAGTTGCTGCTTGCCTTTGCACTGCTCTCAAAGCTAACGTCCTTGGCATCAACCTTAACGTTCCCATTTCCTTGAGTGTTATTCTCAACAACTGTGGAAGGAATGACACCTCTTTCCAGTGCCCTCCTTGAATTCATCACAATTCCACATCATGTCTTTTCTCATATATATTTCGCATCTCTTTATGCTTTCTTTTCTCTTTTCATCAATTCATGTTCTGATCCTAATTTCTCACTCTCATGCCTTAACCACTGTTCTACTATTGGACGAAGGATTACTCATCATTCATCATCATCCTCGTCACCATCTTTCGTTGCATGTGTAAAACCAGTGGTACCAATAAAATTACGTCATTCTTATATATTTCCAGAAGACATTTGTCATTTTAAGAAAAATACATATATATTTCTTTAAGTAGATTACACTCACATTCATGAGATTCGGTGAAATTACATGTAATCTTTTTATTTTTAATGCTTGCAACAATTAATTTCTCTTATAAGGAGTTACAATGTAATATATTTTAAGCAATTAAGCAAATTAATATAATATTTAAGAAGTGTAATATTTTTAAAGAATTAAAGTAAGATTAGTGTAAGGATAGAAATAATAAGAAATGTATGTGTAATTTCATTAAACTTTACTTAATATCTATGTAATTTGTTCTATTTCTTTTTAATTTGTGTAAACATCGAGCATATTTTGAATAATAAAAAAATTTAGCCTTATATAAGGATTAGTTGTATTACGACATGTTAATTAAACTTACTATATAAAAAGATATTTGATCCAAAAGATGTATCTTTGATTTTAGATGTATACAAAAATAATGTTTGACAAATAAAAATTATGTTTTATAAGTGTAAATTAATATTTACTTATTAATTTTAAAATATTGTATGAATCATGTTTATAAAATAGAATGTGCAAAGTATATTTTATTTCATTAACTTCTGTTGATTGACTGAATCTAAATAATATTGTGCTTAGATTTATAAGAACTAACCATAACTTACTTTGATGAAGTTCCAAAAAATCAAAGAAGGAATAGAGAAACCATCAATTGCATGCGTAACAAAAGTTATACGAGAAACCAAAATGAAGAGATTGAACTTCTATATTTCTCATATCTTATTACATGCGTAGTATATATGGTATTTATAGAACAAAGTAACTGGAATGCTAAAATCAAGACGTTAGAAAGCTGTTAATTACGAACAGAATGCAGTCTTATTAACTAATTTGTTAACTGACCAACTAAAGCTAGCTCATCACTTGTCAAATATTTACCATGTTGGGTATAGTTTTTAGATAACTTAGTAAAAATGTGATGGAATATTATTGTTAAATGTGATTAAACATTTTATTTAACTCGAAACGGCTAATTAAACTACATAATTTACTTTTGATAGCTTTATGAATTTCGCTAAGCATCACTGATTCATGACAACTTAAGATTGTTTATAACCAATAACAATTGCTTTGATATATATAAATGGCGACATTCCTTGTTTCATTTTATCTGTACACTCTTCATTATGTGTAGTGAATCTACTTTTTCGGTATGGAAAAAAAAAAAGTCACGTAAAATTAGCAGATATTTAGAGTTTATAATCATGTTGATCTTTGTTTTTGATCATGTGCCTAAAAAGTATTTTATTAAGAAAATAAACTTTATTTCATTGTCTCCAATCTCCATAGCTCAAAATGGATTATAGTTTCCGATTATTTGTTAAATGATCACAATGCCAAATTTGACTTTTTATAGCACACTTATTATAGTAATTTTATGATGAATTACTATGAAACAAAGTATGAAAACTTTTCCTTTAAAAAAAGTATGAAAACTTTTATTACAGTTAAAATACACTGTATATAATAGGATAGATATCTATTATAGTGTTATAGTGATTCATTACAAAAATACTAGTATCTAAAAAAAAATTTTAAAAACAAAAAGTTGGGCGCATTATTACGTAATACCTCAATGTAGTACATGGTATGCATAACTGGACAGGTTCCAAATTTCTGAAGTTATTAAATTAAATTGTAATAATAATAAAAGATAACATTAACGTGAGCTACAATTTTCTGGGGTTAAAAAATAAATATCTGCAATTTAATCAAGATTATTAAAATTCCATTATTTGTGCACATTTCTGAGGGTTACAATAATTCTCGTTAAATAACCTCCGTTAAATACAACAAAATTTTTTTTAAGTGTTTTCTCAAATATTAAACCAATCACATACTTTTACAAGAAACGTTGACATTTTCATATATCCATCAGATAATATCCCACATAACCTGAACAATATGGCCCATATTACATTATCCCAATACAATATAAACAAAGAAGAAGAAAAAAAAGCCCATTTGAAATATCCAATAGAAAACAATGCAACTTTGGACTGTTTGTTTAAGTTTTTTTTTTTTTTTTTTTTTTTTTTTTAAATTTTTTTTT